GGCATCCTGATGTCCATTTTATACGTAAAGTTCCAAACTTGATGCACATGCATGGGGTTTTTAGCTCAAAAATCCATATAAAGTGTCGTACAATGTGCATGGGGCTTTCATGGCCCTAAAGTTGGCACCTTTATGCCATGAGACCCCTATTAAGGTTCAAATCTGAAGTCAAAACTCACCCAACACTTCCAAATCCGAAAAATGACTTAGAAATCCATGGAGATCCCAAGTTAAAGATGAATAAACACATAGATGAGTCAAGACAGGGGCATTATACCTTGAAGCTATTGAAAATGAAGTAAGATTTCCGGATCTACAAGCCCCAACTCGATTTCCAAGCTCCTTTCTTCCTTCCAAGCTATACAATGCACACAAGAACACTAAAAATGGCCTTAAGTCACACACAAACGACTAGGGTTCGATATGAAGCTTTCAAGAGAGTATTAGGGACAAGGGAGGATGATTTAAGATGTTTATATTGGGTGAAACCCTCAGATTTAGGGTTTCACTTAACAAACACCTACTCGCCGAGTCGGTCACTTAAAATGTCCACAACCACGTCCCTACTCGACGAGTTGATCCTCAAACTCATCGAGTCCCAAAGAAAAATACATATACTGAAAAACACATACCAGGTGTTACAAATCTCCCCCACATATTTTAGACTTCGTCCGCGAAGTCTGTCGCTCGATCTTGAAAAAGTTTTTGTAATGCTTCCTCATCTTGTCCTCCGGATCCCAGGTCCATTCTGAGCCCTTTCGATGTTGCCACTGAACCTTTACCTTATCCACCCTCTTGTTCTGCAGATCCTTTGACTTCCTGTCAAGAATCGCCACCGGTCTCTCAATGTAGTTCAGGCTGCCGTCAACCTGAATATCCTTTAAGGGTACCACCTCTGATTCGCCCACCAAACATTTCCGTAACTGGGAGATGTGAAAAGTGCTATGAATCTAACTGAGTTCGGTTGGCAGATCCAGCCTATATGCAACCTTGCCCACTGGGGCTATAACCCTGAAAGGTCCAATATAACTGGGGCCCAGCTTGCCCTGCTACCTGAATCGGATGACACCCTTCCAAGGTGACACCTTCAGGAGAACCATATCCCCGACCTGGAATTCCAAGTCTAATCGGTGCTTGTCGGCATAACTTTTCTGCCGACTCTGAGCAGTCTGAAGCTTGCTTCGGACCTGCTGGATCCTCTCCGTAGTCTTGAGTACCACTTCGTACTCCCAGCGTAACCCTTTGACCAACCTCACCCCAACATATCTGGGTCCTGCACTTCCTCCCGTACAACATCTCGAAGGGAGGACGGTCAATAGTCACGTGATAGCTGCTGTTGTACGAGAACTCAGACAAAGGAAGGTAAGTATCCCAACTACCTCCGATGTCTAATACACACGCCCGCAACATGTCCTCCAAGGTCCGGATGGTCCACTCACTCTGTCCATCTATTTGCGGGTGAAAAGCGGTGCTAAACTGCAAACGAGTTCCCAGTTCGTCATGGAACTTCTTCTAGAACCTGGAAGTAAATCGAACATCTCTATCTGAAATCACCGATATTGGCACCTCGTGCCACGCCACCACCTCCCTGATATAAATGTCGGCCAACTTTTCGGCCGAAATACTATCCTAAATCGGGATAAAATATGCGCTCTTGGTCAATCGATCGACGATGACCCAGATCGAATCCACTCCCCGCCCGATCTTGGGAAGCTTTGTGATAAAATCCATCGTGATGTCTTCCCATTTCCACTACGGAATATCCAATGACTGCACCTTGTCGTGAGGTCTCTGATGCTTGGCCTTGACCTTCTTGTGGGTCAAGCACCGCTCTACGTACCATGCCACATCCCACTTCATGCAGGGCCACCAATAGTCCAAACGAAGATCCCTATACATCTTCGTCGTGTCGGGGTGAATGGAGAATCAAGATTTGTGCGCCTCCTCCATCAATACCTGGCGAACACCCCCATGATATGGGACCCACACCCTACGGTGCAGAGTCAACAACCCCCCAGCTTTCATAATCAAAGGAGGAAACTTGACCCACAATCCACTCGCTCTTCCGATGTTCCTCCTTCATGTCCTCCTATTGGGCCACCAGAATCCGCTCCAACAACGGAGTGACCACCGTCATCCTCATACATATATCCTTGATCGGTGCTTCCTTGCGGCTAAGCACATCAACCACAACATTGGCCTTCCTTGGGTGGTAAATGATCTCGCAATTGTAGTCCTTTACCACGTCCATCCACCGACACTGCCTCATGTGCATATTCGGTTGATCCATAAGGTACCTCAAACTCTTGTGGTCCGTGTAGATAGTTTAACAAACCCCATAGAGGTAATGACGACAAATCTTGAGGGTGAACACAACAACCCCTAGCTCCAAATCATGCGTCGAGTAATTCGTCTTGTGAGGCTTCAGCTGCCTCGACGTGTAGGCGATGACATTCCCCCTCTACATCAGAATTTTGCCCAAACTTGAGATGGACGCATCGCAATACACAACAAAATCCTCCATGCCCTCTGGCAGGGCTAAGATTGGCGCCTCGCACAATCTCTGTCTCAGAGTCTTGAATGTGGCCTGCTGCTTAGGCCCCCAACGAAATACCACAACTTTCCTTGTTAGCCTGGTCAGGGGTAAGACTATCTTGGAGAAATCCTGGATGAATCTCCGATAGTAGCTGGCTAATCCTAGGAAACTCCGAATCTCAGATGGAGACTTCAGAACTTCCCATCTCATCACGGCCTCCACTGTGGACGGGTCCACTGAAATCCCGTCCTAGTTGACGAGGTGCCCAACGAACTGCACCTCGTGCAACCCGAACTCACACTTGGAGGACTTAGCATACAAGTTCTCCCTCCTCAAAAGTCTCCAAAACCTCTCGCAGATGCTCCTCGTGCTCCTCGTGCGTCTTGGAGTAAACCAAGATGTCATCAATAAACACTATCACAGACCAGTCTAACATCGGTCTACACACGCGGTTCATGAGGTCCATGAACGTGGTAGG